ATATTTTGTTCAAATTAGAGTGCATAATGTACATTGTACAAGTAATTTTAAGAAAGCAGGTATAAAGTATATGATTTTTTGAATACTAAAACATCAAATTAGGTATAATCACTTAGATATAATAGATATGACCTATATTATGTTGTTTACTTGTATACAATATACTAATATACATTACATACATTCTGTTCTTTAAAAATTTGTATAAATATAACAAATGATATCAAAATTAAAGTAAATAATATATTGATCTATATGTATTATATATATACTTTGAACAACATTCTGACCCTCAGGCTAAAAGTCGTTTCATATGAAACCACTATAAATGTATATTACAACTGTGTATACCTTGACAGAAATAATAATTGAAAATACTAAATAGTATTACATTTATGTACCTATATTGGCTATATTAATAATATTGTCTGTATAGAAGAATTTCAAAGTTCAATTTCTAAGTAAAATGTTTTTCGTATATAAAAATTATATTTATGCATATTATACACACATTTAAATTTGTATGGAATGATTACATATTATAATGGCTATAATACAATAATACGTTCCTACCGACCTATATAGTTCCGTTTTAAATTATATTCAAATTAATTATTTTTTGACGTAAGTAATGTTTAACTGGTTTTCAAATAATAGGTAAGAAATTGATATGAATTAAATTTATATATTTATAACTTTATGAGTAATTTATTTTCGTAACATATTTTTACTTTAATATCTATCAATATCTTCCCATTATTGTTATATATATGTAATGATTATATACCATAGAATTAATTATAAAAGTATTATATGTAAAGTATATTTGACTGAAGACTAAAAATCCAAAACTTATTACTATTAGAAATTATTATATGTAAAGTATATTTCATTATATCATAACTTATTGTAATTTGTAATTATTAAATATACATAATATGACCAATTGATTCACACTATAATTTGGTTAACGTATTGTTTGCACTGAGTTCAATTTTTTTTATTTTTAAAATAACGATTTTCGTATGTATATGATATAGGTAGTATGTACTGCCCGACACCTGCAATTTATATTTCATGGTATTTCTTATACTTGATATCATTTTTAAGAAAGTAAAACAAAAAAGAATACTCAAAAGTTTGTGTACACTGATGATAACATATAAATTATGTATATTATAATATAAAAAACTTTAAACAATTATTTGCTATTTTTATTAACAAAACTTCGATGATTCTTGCGAGGACGTTACTTTTTTATTGACACAATACTTTAGTTGTCAAACGACGAGAGAGTGAAAAGTATGAATACTATATGAATTGTGTTTTGTGAGATAAGAAAGGCTTTGGATAAAGATAATATGGAAATAAACTATTGGTAAAGTTATTTATTTCATCCCGCTGTAATATTCGAGAAGAGCGATAGAACTCAAAATTAAGACAAATAGCTTTTTAAGTTATATATATCCTAACTTTATAAAGGTATACACGGGTCATGTACCGCGGTTGTGTCAGCACTCAGTATGAGCACATTATCTAACCTGTCTCGTGGTTATTGTTTTGAATCAAAGTTTAAAATATGAGTTTGCAATACTTAATTATATAACAAATCTATTTATACTCGTGTAATAAACAATTTTTTTTTAGTGTCTATCAGGATCAGCCCCTCGAACCTAACACAAGTCATACAACTTATATTGTTAAATAAATAGATTTCTTTAGAAACAAAAATGTAATTACAATATTGTACGTTTTTTTCTGGTTAAGATATAGGTTACCAAATTTAAAATTACACTGTTAGCTAATTACCATCACGGCATCATGACTGCGATAAAAAGAACTATTTGATTCCTTGGTACATAAAAAAAAAAACCATACAAGTGTACACTGATTAAATTATTTATCAATTTATGTTAAGATACCTAGAATATATTATGCTAAATATATAATATAATTTACAATCTAAAAAAAAAATGGTGTTCAATATTAATATGACGGTTAAAGAAATGACAATTTTTAATGTCTAATCGTTAAGGCATTTTTGTTTACTTAAAAAATAAATTAATGAGCTCAATTTATATTTTTGTAGTGACTAACTAATTTTATATTCTGTTGGTTGTTAAATAATACTCATATTACAATTATTTTGATGGTCAGACATATTCAATTAAAAAAAATTGTTTATCTTGAGGTAAACAAAAACAGTAAAGACAAATCCAGAGTTCTCGCAATAAAATATCGTTGTCTAACTTTCAGCTTAAGTCTTAACATAATATATTTATGCGAATTTTAAACAATTAATTTCAAATTTATTATACTATGAGTTCTTAACATTAGAAATAACATCTTCTATAAATAAACACGATACTTAACTACATTAAGGTAGTTCGCAGATGACTTGAAAAATAACGATATAACAGTCTCATTTTTATTTGAATTTAAGTTACACCTTTTCTTTTCTTTATAAGTCTCTTATAGGTATTTTATTATTTTAGTTGGTTAAATTACAAATAAGTTTAAGTGGTATTCCGTTTTAAATCAACTAAGGAAGACAGCGATGTGTTTTTGTCTTAAATCGTATACTGCAATAACCTAAATAGTTAGAATAGAATCAAAAAAACAATTCTTGTGATTAATAAACATAATATATTATTTAAAATGTAAATATAAGAAAAGCGTAAAACTATAGAAGTTTCAAAACAATTTAAAACTGTATAAGTTAATTAAAGAGCATATTTTCCAATCAAGTCCAACTTTGACGGGATTTGAGCACTTTTCATAAAATATTACACTGGAATTTAACTTGCAAATATGTTGAAATATAATAAATGTCTATAAATAATAATTACAAAAAAAAAATCCTGAAATGGATAATATACATAACTTCATAGTTTAGCACTAACTATACATAACATTTTATATTGAAATTAAATTAAATATATAAATATTTAGTAAATAAATTGAAATTTCAGTATATGGATTGAATTTCAACAGAAGTTTTCATGTTCTTTAAATTACAATACTTATTAAAATGATTTATCAATTAAAGTGTTTTGTTTAGAACTTTCGAAGAACATAATATTATGAAGTTAAAATTGTATGTTGTAGTTTAAAATAAATTTAAAAACATAAAAAGCTAAAAAACATAGATTTTTTCTCAAAAATATTGTGTCATAATAATCTTTGAAAATCATCTAAACGAAAATTTTCAAATTACGCATATTTATTAAGAAAATGATTGTTTAATGACAAAATAATATCGCCCTATAGCCGTGCTTATACTGTTGTACTGTGTACTATATTTACATTGATAATTATTAACGACTAGCTGCCCGATCTTCCTCCGGAAGAAATTATTTTTTTATAATTTAATTTAAAAACATAAGACTATTTTTTGGCTATACAAATAAAACAACGATTATATAAAAAAAAAAAAACAGACATCGTTATCGGTGAATATATGAAAATAATTGGTAATTAGTTAATTATTATTATTGTTATTATAATGAGGGTTCAAAACCGGTTTCCTTCGTCTCCAAAATCAAGTTAGATTCTTATATATATAGATAGATAAACATTATTCATTAGTGATGTTATGAACTGATTGAAAAACGAACTAAACATTACAAATACTTGAAAAAATAACCAACAATTGACTAATAGTTTGTTTGATTCATAACTATCAAAATCAAAATTCATACTGAAGTAAATTGATGTTGATCGATATAAAATAAAATAAAATAATTGTTGTAGTGTCCGGGTTCCACCGCAAAATATAATATAATATATTTATAGTTGTTCATAATTTATTAATTTTTGAATTTTTATAAGTTCGGTTCAGTCTTGTTATAAGATTGATTATGTTCGGTCGGGTATCGGTCAGTTATATTCTTTTCAAAATCGTTGAATTTAAAACTTCGATTCATCTTAAAAAATTAATAATAAAAACCGGGAAGTCACTCTGATGTATATTAGGCTTACCTAATAGTAAACCTCTGTAATGGACGTGTTGAATATACAAATTCAATGATGATAAATGATATTTTATAATTTATTTATGTTACAATTATAACAATACGATAGATTGAACTAATTTTCGTCAAATCATCGTACTGAATTTAATAATTTTATAATTGGCAACGAAAATTATAAAATAAAGAAAAAACACTGTAAAGCAACTGAATAAATGCATAGTATTATTTCCGTTTACAAACAACCGTCGACAAATGCTATAAAATATGCATTATTATTATATTGACAGTTACGGTTTTTAATATGTATTACTTATACTTAAAATATTTGTTTTTCATACAACATTATAATATGTTTTGTTATATTTGCAACAATACTTATATACTATTCCGTCTTATCCTACTTAATAAGATGTCGGCGCTTTTTTTCTCTCTCTCGTCCACGCGCAACATAACAAATTGTAAGTTCACAATAATGATTATAATCATAATAATTTCTAAAATTAGAGTAAAATGACTTATAAAATTTAAAGCTAAGAGTATTATCTAGGTCCTCTCATAAGCTTTTTATTTTGTTTTAATTTTAAAGCGAGTTACAAGTATTTTAAGACGTACAGAAAAATTACAGTTTTAAAATACTCATAATCACTTCAAGAGTATTTAAAATATAATAAAAAGCATACGAGATGCCCAAGACAATAATCGTATCATTATATTTTATAAGAGGTCATTTCACTCTAATTTTGGAAATTATTATGGTAATAATCATTACTGTGAACTTAAAAATTGCTATGTTGCTCGTGGACTGGAGGAAAAAAAATGCTTTGACATCCTCTAAATAAACTATTTTAGCTCGGGCCTCGCATTTCTGAAATATATAACCGATTTACGCTCTCTACTCGCAAGCTCTTCCTCTCACGCATAACATAGGCGTACTTACATACTGTTGAATATTATGTCTTTATTTATAATGTATTATATAGTATTATAATATTATTATTATTATTATATATTATTATAATGTCTTACCGCTAATGATCTTCAAATATTATATTATATTATACGATAAAATATAATTATAATATAATTATTATGTTATGTAGAATGTGCGGGATAGAAGAATATTGGCGATCGACAAACGACGACACGACTCAGTGCAGGTATATACTATGAATATATATCTAAAAAAATATATGTAATAATAATATTATAGTCGACGGTCCGCTCAGACAGCAACAGGCTGGCACGACGAGCGGGTCGGTTGAAAAGAACACCGCACGATGATCGTCTGGGAAAAAAATGCACTCAAATGGCCGCTGAAGAGGGTCGCAGGGGATACTCAAAGGTCCGTTTCCGGGCGGATCGGACGCGTAAAAGCCGAAAAGGCTCTGTTCCAGGCTGCAACGGGAACGACGACGACGACGACGACGACGACGACGACGACGAGGACGACGATCAGGACGACTCGGTTGTCCCGCGGGCGACGCGTGCGGAACGGCTACGGAGGCGGTCGGCCGGTCGGCGCGCTCCTTTTATAGGGATATACGCGGCGCGCGGTTTGTGTCACGTTTGTACGTTCGTTTTCTTTCAGTTTTGGGCGGCACGCATGCCCCCCGCGGGGACCCATCGCCGGGCGCTTCGACAAATAATTCCGCCGAGAACGTGCGAATCGTCCGACGAAGTATAAATGGCAATGGGTACTTATTATCGGAACGATGACAGTAAAAAAAAAAAAATCCATTTGTAAAACGCGAAAAGGGAGAAATCCAAAAGCTAGGAATCTCATTCAATGCACCGAAATATTTTCCAGAAATAATAGGTAAAAACCGCACACCCCGCACTCCCCTCCAATTTCTTGACGAGGCGGGATATTTTATATGATAATAATATAAGTATACAATTATAATACATAATAATACATGAGTGGCAGGCTCGTCGTGTTATAATGTTTTGCGTTTCCAGCACATAACATTTTTGGTTTCCCATTACCGAAAACGGATACGGTTTTATTCGTATGTGAAACACTTTTAATTGGACGTATATTATTATCATAATATATACCACCACGACTACGTTGGTTGCGGTTATAATTAACGACCACCGGGTTATTTTATCATCACATGTATTATTATGTTCGTTTTCGTAGGTAACGTTTAATTCGATATGCTATTATCTACTTAGTTTTCGAGCGACAGTATCGGGGACACAAAATATTATAGATTGTCTCTGCAGTCTCGAATGTGTGTATTTTATGTAAAGGTGGCCGGGTTTAGTTGTCCCACACTTATACTGGTCGTCTGTCATAATATATGTCAATAGCTCCGAAACTAGATGGTATTCATATCCATTTTAATATTTACTGTAAATTATCACGGTGAAAAAATACATTTTTATTTAGACTATGTGTTAGATTGTGGTTGTATGACAAATTTCACCAGAAAAGAAAAATTAACTTTAAGTCTGTGAGAAATTTTTTTATGATTGTTAATTGTCATTTATACAAGTACCATACCTAACGCTGAAATATTGTGAACTTGGCAAAATGACAAATAATTACTTAGTGTATTGACATATATTTTGCAGGTGTGCAATTTTCGTCTGTACTGATAAGTGTTATAATTCACATTAAAGTTACTTTATTATCAAATAGTAGATTGGAGTTTGTTTGTCAAAAATATGAGGGGCTGTTTTTCACATGTTTTTAAAAGGTCCATTCTAAATACATTTATAGATTAGTTAATAGTTTGTTACATTTTGTTTTGTTTTGTTTTTTATTCACTGATTCAATCGATTTGTATTATTGACAGCTAAAAGTTTGAGTTTGTTGTGGTTTATTGTTTTATATACGTGAAATGACGATTATTGCAATGATTAATTAATTTGTTGGTCTCTGTTGTGTTGAATTTCACACGATCCTCCAAAGTCCCAATTTATTCACATCTCCTAATTCCTTAATTCGTTTAGATGTCCATAGTTTTGACGATTCGGCACCCTGTTTTTGTTGTAGACATGACATTTTATTACACTTTCAACAGATTTAATGTGGAAAATCCTATAAAAGCCATAGTAACACAGAGTCGGACTACGAAGACAACTCGAATGTTGGTATATTTCTTTTATAGTTAATTATGTAGTGGTATTTTACTAATAATAGTGACTGAGCATGATCAACATACCATTTTTTCGCTAATACCAACGGATTTTTTTTCGTTCTGTGGCATTGGTGTGAAATTGTTATCCAACGATATTATTATGTTTGCACAATATTATAATCGTTTCCTATTACTTGTACCAAACGCCTATTGAAACGACAAACCTGCTCAACAACTTTTACGACTGACAAAGGCTAACATTAAGTCCGTTTGCTCTTGTTCATATTAATAGTATAGTAAAACTTAGTTTACAAATCGCACTTATCAATTATTATTTATTAGATAAGCAAACATTTCGGTCAATAAATAGATTAGTATAATGATTAAGTATAGTTACGGCGTCTGGAATAGGCAAACGTGGTACACAAGTGTGTAGAAACAATAATATATTTACAAGACTATTAAATGTATTAAGAGGACGTAATACTGGTATTTGTTGTCTCCGTCATACCAGTGCGTAATATAGCAAATTTACGCTCAGCAGAATACTTGTAGCTCCTTTAGTTTAAAAATTAGAGTGAATTGACCTATTTTGGAACTCGATGGTAAGAACATCATCTGTGTTTCTACGTTGGTTTTTTACGATAATTCAATTTTTTAGCAAGTTATATGTATATAATATACGGTAAATTAAAAATGATCATAACTCACTTAAAAATTGAATTATCGCAAAAAACCAACGTAAAAACACAGATAATGTTCTTACCATCAAGTTTCATAATAGGTCGATTCACTCTAATTTTTAAACTAAAGGAGCTACAAGTGTTCTGCCGAGCGTAATTTTGCTATATTACGCATTGGTAAGACGGAGACAACAAATACTAGTGTTACGTCCTCTTAATACTATATTATAGTGTTCAACCACGTCATAATAATTTTATAATATTATTAATACAACACATTTTAAAAATATAAAATTAAAATAATTTCAAAATATTTTAAGGTTTAAAATGTTTTTATTTACAATAAAAGTATGTTCCAACGTATATACAGAATGCCTGAATGCAAGATAATAATATATCTATTGTGTTTATGTTTTCCATATTAATATGATAAACAATATTACCGAATATATAAATAGGTACTTCATTTTTGAACGTGTCGCATGGGCTATGGACTATATGGTTCCAAAATTAATTTTTTATTTTCTACCTAGTTTTTATTTCTCCGAATACCTATAAAGTTTTATTTCGGCCTAAAAATAATATTTATCTTTTCTTATGATACATCTACTGACAATCATCATGAATACATTATATAGTTATATTTCATTATATTTAAATTTTAAGAACGCACAATTTGTTATTTACACAATTGCTCAATTTTAGTTCTAGTTTTTTGTTTGAAATTGCAAAATTACTCTCAATAAAATGGTATCTATTTTTTATTTTTATTTTTAAAATGTCTTCTATTTTTTGATTGTATTTGACTCAAATTTTGGGGTCTATAGTGTCCTTACTGAATGACCTATCTTTACGTTGTATACTTTACTGAAACGATTTTTTTATATATAGATTGACAAACATTGTTTTATTTTAGGGGAAAACCCACGTTCATTTTAATATTGTTATAATACGCATTCATATCAATCATATTCATATCATGTTTATGTTTCAGATATTTTTTACTTATATATTTTCCTATAAATTATGATATCACACCAAAATAGTATATACGCAACTTGACTTCATTATTCATATATACTGGGTCAAAATGATGTAATCCCCGCCTTTTATGTAAAGATACATTCGTATTATGAAAACACGCACATACACACTGATATATCCAATAGTATACAGTCGACTCTCGGTAACTCGAAGTTCAAGGGGGAAAAAAAAAATTCGACTTACTAAAAATTTCGAGTTATCAAAAACTTTTAAAAAGTATGTTTATTTTTAAATTAAGTATTATACATTAAAAAAATTAAAAAAATGTTTTCTTACATTCCTACTTACATATTATTATCATTTTTAAAAAATTGGTGTAAAGTTAATTGTTTTTGTTTATTTAAAACATTGTTCTCAATTCTATTTTCTAAAGTACCTAGTGGTTTAAATAAATCTTCCATACCTTCATTGCCTTCAATATATTTACGTAATGTTTCTAATGCAAGTTTCGCTTCTTTATTTGTAATGGTGGATTGTATTTGTTGGTCTTCAATTTCTTCTTCGTTATCTTCGTCTAATATATCGGAGATAATATCGTTCTCAGTCCATTCTCCACAAATCTCCAAATTTTCATCGACATTGACGTATGACGTAAAAGTTTCATTAAGATTTAATTGATCCCATTCATCGTTATTATCATCAGAAGGTTCATCTAGAATATTTTCAGTCGAAGTTCTAAAACCTGATTTTGTAAAACAGTTTACGATCGTTTCTTTTTTTACGTGTCGCCATGCTTTATCGCATAGCCGTATAGCATCCAATATGTTTATTACAATTTGATTGGTATCATTTATAGCCGATACAATTTTTTTTACCATTTCTTTTCTGTAAAATATTTTAAAATTATTTATAATACCTTGGTCTAATGGTTGTAATACAGACGTAGTATTAGGAGGTAAAAACTGCACTTTAATAGCATTAAAAGTCGAGGTTAAATTGTGTGCAGTACAATTATCAATAAAAAGTAAGATTTTTCTTTTTTCGGAGACCATTTTTTTATCTAATTTCATTAACCACAAATTAAAAATTTCAGACGTCATCCAGGATTTTTTGTTTGCATAATAATCTAATGGTAATGATTTTATTTGTTTAAAACATCGTGGTTTTTTCGACTTACCAATCAGAAGTGGTCTTAATTTTTCTGTGCCCGACATATTTGCCCCTAACAGAAGTGTTACTCTTTCTTTACTATGTTTTCCACCTGAACAAGATTGGCCTTTAAATATGAATGTTTTGTCAGGTAAACATTTGAAAAATAATCCTGTTTCATCTACATTAAAAATATCGTCTGGTGAATAATTTTCGATGAGTTTCGGTAAATTATTTATCCATACGGAACATTTTTGTACATCTACAGCGCCACTTTCACCACAAACTTGTTTAAATACAACGCTATTTCTGATTTTCCAATTTGTTAACCATCCACTGCTAGCTTTAAAATATTCATGCCCTAACTTATGTCCAAACTCTTCAGCTTTTTCTCGTAGAATAGGTCCATTAATTGGAATTTTTCTGTCAAGACATTGTTGAAACCATTTTAATAAACATGATTCTATGTCAGAGTATTCTCCTAGTTTCATTTTTTTTCTAGTTGCCGAGTTTTCGTTAAAGTTTTTTAAAATTACATCTTTATTTTTTATTATTGTAGATAATGTACTCGCCGGAATTCCAAAATCTTTGGCTATGTCTTGTTTTTTTTTTTCGCCTTTTTCAATAATTTTAAGCAAGTTCACTTTTTCTGCAAGTGATAATGTTGTTAATTTTCTTTTTTGAGCCATAATAACCACTGATTAACACTGTCACACTCACACGATAAACGATTAACCGAACGAACAGACGGCAGAACTAAAACTGATTGTATCAAAGTTATCAAGAGTTAAATTACGGTCGGGTTTTACGAAAAATAATCGCCTTGATAAACTATTTTTAGTACTAAATTTGGATAAGAAAATTCGAGATATCAAAAACTTGTCAAATTAATTTTCGAGTTAACAAGATTATTTAAACATTAAGTGTTATTGTTATTTGAAGGGGAATTTTATTTATTCGAGATATCAAGAATTTCGAGTTATCGAGGTTCGAGTTACCGAGAGTCGACTGTATTATATTACATTATATACGCGTAGGTATATTTAAAATACTTATAATAGTATGTTCACTTATTTTTCACACAACTGAAGTTTAGTTTATTATACGCTGGTCTTTACTATCATTACACTAAATTATACTCACATAAAATGATATACAGGTAATTGTGAAAAGATAATTTAAATGGTCCTGTTTCGAGGCTTCAACTTAAATAAATATAAAAAAAAAATTGGCAATGTTATGATTGAAAAAAAAGTTTAAAGCATTATAATTTGTTATGTACTTATTAAATTGAGTGGTAGGCGTACAGATAAATATCTTTTACCTCTTGCGAGTGTCTACAATATTGTCCAGTTGTGGTCTTACAAAGCACTTTAATACCTACTACATCAGATTGCTAAACTTCAAACAACTTTTGTGGAATACAATATCTTTATACTCTGCCAAAGAATTTAGTGGTAGAAAACATCATATGATATTGTTCTCTATTTACACTTACGTTCTACAAAACTAGCCAATTACTACTAAACCCTGGCTTCTATGTTATAATAAAGGATGAATTCCTGTACCTAACTTAACGATTTGCATGTAAATATTAACAAGGTACCCATTATCCTATATTGTATGTTCTTATATTGTGATACTCGATATTGTATAATCAGTTATTTTAAACTTATTTCTAGTATGTATAAATAAAATGTATTCATTTTTATTAATTACAAAACTATGTGTAATTAATATAAATCATAGGTTATACATATCCACTTACTCGTCTAATTCATGCAGCACTGTTTTTGGATTTCTTAGATTGTGTTTTAATTTTAAAAAAATTCGTGTTCAATAATATATAGTCGAATCTTGATAACTTAAATTTTTTTCTCCCCTTAAATTGTTTCTTTACGTTGTGGTTTATTAATGTTATCTACAAGCTGACAAATACATAAGTTGAATTCATTTTTATTCCCCATGAGATTCGAGTTACTCTACCGTAATTATAAATCTTAAATACAAAGCTTCAAAATAGTTCACTGCAAAATAAATAAGTTTGACAATTAAGGTAATAGCTAATTTTATACACATCGATATTATTCTATACCTACTATAAATAATTCAAATTTCTAAGTCGAAATCTGTTACTTCACCAAATCCATTAAAAATTATATTGCAATTATTATTTAAAACATTTAACATTTGATTATAACTATTCCGTCGACAGTTCTTAAAGAAAAAAAATCGAAAGTAGGTAACCTCTATATTTTATTTAAAGTTGTAGGTTTCAAATGCACTTTATAGCTTAGTAAGTCAGTGTAATGTATTAGTTATAAACCATGGCATACAAAAAATGATTCTAAGGGAAGATTGACTATGAGCATAAATTATACTATAAGTATGTTTCATGATATGTTTTATGATATTGCTGTATTAAAATTATTTATTTTGCTATTAGTATTACGATGGGTTGATTACATTTTCCCCGAAAACATTGCCTTTATCATATTATTAATATATTATGGTCATGAACTTTTGAGTGAAAACAGATTTATCGGAGAACCGTGTGAATAGGTTCGTGGTATAATTAGGACTCAGCAATAGTATTAAATTAATCTAAATATTTTGAAAATATCCTTGTGACATTGTGTACCTACACAAAATTTCATAATACATGCACAAGTTTCAAATTCCCATGTGAAATATTATTGAATTACAGCAAAATATCTAAAACCTTACTCTTTCTTTAAATATCTAATTTCGTCCAGATTTAAACTTATAATGTACATTAAAAAAATTATATATTCTGACGTATGGTTTCCAGTATGGAATACTTGTGAGGAACCTTGTATTAACTTTTCAAGCCTTAGCTGTAAAAATTGATCATTTTATAAATTTTAACTACAAAAATAATTATCAAATTTCATGGTTTTGCAAAATTTGATCTTGAAAATATGCTTCTTTATAAGACTGTGCAAACGTATCTTTAATATTTTGTAATTGGCCATAATAAAAGCAATATAAAATCTTTTATTACATTCAGGGTATTTGACCGTGTGAAAATATTTTTATTGATATTTATTGAAAAATAATTTTTTTAAAAAATCAAAAATTTAACATGTCCATAAATAGCTCAAAATGAAAATTATACAATTATATACTACCTGCTATAATATTACAAAAATCTAAATGCTAATAATAATATAAATATTTGAAATAAATTTTAAGGTTATTCGTTTCTGAATTTCAACAAAATAAGAAAATCAATTTTGTCGAAAATTCGTTTTGCTTGTACTTTCTTTAATTTCCTTTTTGTTTTTCCCGATTATTTAGAACAGTGTTGGGAATTTCGGCATCCCAAAAGTACCAACTAGATTCAATTTATTACAAGAACTCAAAGTTGAATATCAAAGTATATTTTCTGTTATAAATCATGTACACATAATATACTAAAAACATACGTCATCATTGTAAAATCAATATGTCAATCATATATCCACCCAGAGTCCTAAATTAGTAAACTAAAGATTACGCCCAAATGACTCTTCTAACTCAGTTTTTATTTACGATTTAAAAGCTTTGAATTCTTTCTGTCTAGGATCAAATATTGGTATGAGACATGTGGAGTTGCACTTGGATATCGGTAAATTTAATATTACACACGTCACTATAACGTACCAAAGACGAATTTTTAATTTTTGTTTTTTTAACATGTAAATTATCCATAGTTTGTGTGTGAATGTCAATTAATTTAACTAGGTATGTAAAGTCACTTTATTCCTATAAAACATTTCAAACCAAATCGGAAGATGTTCAATATTATAATTTAAACGTTTTTAAACTTTTACCCGTAATGGAAATTGTATAGACAACACTGTCGTATAATATTTAAATTCCAATAAATCATATTTAAGGATATGCTTACATTTTTTTTTTCTAAAACCATTAAATGATAAAGTTCGGACGAATATGGACCTATTTTTTCTGTATATGCTGTTACCCTATATGCCTTAAGATAATTTTATAAGCTGATGAAACTAGAAAATAAATAATAATTATCATTTTAATTTGAAATTTATCTGATTCGTATTTTAAACTTTTGTATAATATAACTTGCTAGGTCTTTTGAGTTTTTCGTTTAATTATTTTTCACTTGGTAAAAATGATTGAGCAGTTTAGCTGAAATAAGCATGTGTCGAAGAAATACTACATGTATAGTGCACTGCTAATCATAAAAACCATGCACCTACAGGGATTTGGCTGTGCTTAATCATTATTCATTAATGCGGATTATCTTGTCTGTATGAACTCAACTAACTAATTTTACACTAAACATATGTAATGGTATTTATTCTTTTACGATTTATTATTTCTAATAATATTAGTTTTATCATTTACTGTCTTATAAGTTATAATCATGCTTCATACAAAGTTCATATTATATATAGTGGTTTATTATTTTTATTTTTTAATATTATTTTGTAGTTTCTCCCATAGACGAAAAAAATACAATTTTAAATACAATTGTAATATTATAATACTATTTAATAAATGTATAAATATAAAAGTATAAAAAGTAAGTATAAACATTATTATACTATTGATAAATGCAATTAAACAAATATGAATAGGTATAAACTATAAAGTATCTTTGCATTTTCCAACTAAAGATTACTTGTATTTATTACTTAGAGTCCAATGTTGTTGGTAAATTATATTCATTTATATTTAATAAAGTGTTCTTTTTTTGTTGTTTAACTGTACTGCTTCAGTATCATGATTGTATAAACGATTAATATTTCCCCCTTAATTTATTATGTAATTTAAAATCAAATCATTCTAATTTCATTTTGAAACTATAATTTGGATTTTTTTAAGCAGTATACAAATTAATCAAGTTAATTAAAAATAGACATATTACCTAATAAACGTTTTCATAAATATACTATATAGAATTGTACCATTAATTTTATTGTTAGCCGTTAGGTCACTATTTCATACTTTTTCGGTCATAAACTTCTGAGCCGTAATAATAGCAATATAATACAGTACGAAAGTACGATATCGCTACGATTTTTACGAGTATTGAGTGACACGATGAGTCGATGACACGTACTCAAGGGTCGATTGTCCAACTTCCAATTCTGTGTAGTATTATAATAATATTATTATTATCAACATTTTATATATTAAAAAAATAAGAATTTTATTAATTGTATTTAATTACAAATACTTTTTGATGTAAATTGCTACCTATTTAAAAACTTATTATGATTTTACCAGACAAATCGAGATTATTTTTGTTTAAATGTGGGTACTCAATTTAAATGGCAAACATTAGTACATATTACACAATAAATTTATATGATGATCAATGCGTATGGCGGTATACGTTATTGATATACAATATAAACATTGAACGTTAAGCATTAATAACAATTCGAATGTAATGCTATACTATGTAGTTTAAAGTTTTAGCTTTCAGATACCATCTAACGACAAGCATAATAGTTTAAATAAATAAACTCATTTTGACGGCATTATCTATAAGAGTACTGCAAGAACGTAACCTGTGGAATTTATTAATTTTTTTATTCTTCAATTTAAGAATTAAACTATATTGTCTAGAAGTATATTCTAAACTTCAATCCCATCGAAAAATTTTAACTAAATGTAATACTAGATATAACATTACATGTTCTGAAATCGCAATGAGCTGCAGCACCTGTGTTTCTATTGCCCCATCTACTTGATCTATCGGTAAACCACTTTGATTTCATAACTGTTTACCATTTTATTTTATTTTATTTCATTTTTGCATTATTATTGTTTCTTTGTCCGAAAAGTGGAAAGTTATACCGGAAGTAGTTAAATCATAATCACACAAATCACGCAACAACACATTGTATAATATATGCAGCTGACTATGTGGCGTGCAACAAATTATACGATATAGGTAGTGTATTAAAATTGACTCCAAATCCTTTAGATTTAGAAGGACAATGACT